TGCTGTTGCCTGGTCTTCTCCGAGTTTGTTTAGGCAATATGCAAAGTTTTCGCTTATCTTGCCTTATTCAAGTCTCCTGTTCATTAGATTTCTCTGTCAGTATATCGATGGCCTCTCAGATCTTGTGTTTTCTTGTATTTTCACCATATCCAGCCAACCTATCGGTCGATTTATAGTCGAATTCATGCCACGTCAGTGCAACGTGTTCCGCTATTTCTGATCTTTGTGTATCCATGTTCCTGCAGAGTCTTTGATGTTCCTTGATTCGTAGGCCAATTTTTCTTCCTATTTCATTGATATACTTCTGCTCACAGCTGCCGCATTTGATGCGATAAACTAGTGAATACTCAAGTTTTTCTGTCTTCTCGTGCTGTATTGGCAGACAAAGTGAAATTTTTTTTCTTCTTTGTTATCACCTTGATATTCCATTTTCCTTATAATGGTCGCAATTGTTGGCTCAGTTCTGATGAGGGCAGGCAAATTCATTTCTGGTCGCCCTCCTGATTCCTGATCTGAATTTCATAAAATCTAAGTTGAAATCGGCCCTTTATAACCACTACATTTTTTTCTATAAATGCTCTGGGATATCCGTTACTAAGGCAAATCCGTGTCAGTTATTCCAACTCTTCGTCCCAGAACTCAGTGTCCGTTAGTCGTAAACTTCTGATGATCAAACTCCTCAGTATTCCGATCTTCAGTCTGTAGTTATGATGAGACTGCAAATTAAGGATTATTCCTACATACGAATTCTTTCTGTATAGTTTCCTCATGAGTATTCGTCTGGAGCGTATGACTTCAACATCCAGAAAGGGAAGTCGTTCATCTTCCTCCACATCCATTGTAAACTTAATCCTTTCAACAAGTTGGTTAATGCAATTGAGGAATTCAAGAGTCTGTCATTTACTTTCTTGAGCTTCAAGCAAATGAATTTCGCTAGTTTATGCATTGCTCTGTGCTTGTCGTTGACTATTAATCTTAGCGGATTTCCTTCCCCCTGTATCTTCGGAAGTCTGTAGGCTGTCAGTGGTCTTGTGTAATTTTTGATTAAAGATTTCATCATCCATCTGTGAATTTCCTTGAGCATATTTTTCAGTGTCCCGTTGATCTTCTTGGTTGGATCCTTCCTTAGTATTTGATAAGTGTTCCGATCGCCAAGAATAGTTTTCATTTTCTTCGTGTAGTTTTTCCTGTCCATTACAAGCGTCGCCCCTCCTTATCCGCCTGAAAAACTATTTGATCATTCTTTTGTATTTTTTTCCAAATACCAGCCAATCTGCTCCTGTGTATCGGTTCTTGATGTGTCAGGATCCGTGGGATTATTTCCAGTTCCATCTTCTGGATATTTATCTATTATGTTGACAACTTCCACCAGGATATCACTAAGAACATTTCCTTCATTACCTGGTGAAAAATGTAACC